ATATTCTTCTGAAATTAAGAATATATTCTTTATTTAAGAATATATTCTTAGTTTAAGAATACAGTCTTTTTCGATAGTGAGATATATATGTTTTTCTATAGAGGCTTTTTATATTCTTATCAATATTACTATTTAGAGGATTTTCCTCTTAAAAATAAGAAACTCTTCTTGGCGCCTATTTTAGTATAAAATATACTTAAAGTAAGTATATTTTATACTAAAGATTTTGTACTAAAGGGATATCTCTCCTCAAAACAAGAATACAATTTTTTCGGTGTACACACACGATTAAGTATCGCGCGCGAATCAACAGACGGAAAATATATTTCTCGTTGACAAGCGTTGGACACATGCTGCTTCCGTTGGCGTAATCATCATGTAGCAACTTGACTGCATATACGCAGCCACCGCGGATCGATGTAACCGATTCGCGTCGCCTTATCTCGATTCGATCGGAACAACCCCCCACACGCACGTCTCGATTTTTCTCGCCGATATATACGATCTTATATACGGTCCTTCCACACTTTCATCCTTCTACGTGTATATCCCCGCGTGTATTGAGCTCGACATGCAATCTCAGCATCCGTTTGCTACGCGAGATAACGATTGCATACCGAAGAGCGTATCTTCGATTTTGCGCGGCTGACGCGCGCGTTCGCGCGAATTACAATAAAGCATCGCGACTGCTCGACTCATCGATGATTCGCACGAACGGATTATAAAATGTGACGACTCGCGAGTTTCAGAAGTAAACAATTTAATAAACGAATTTATACAATACATATTTTTCAAATTGTAATTTTTGTTTTTTAATTTATTAAATTTTCTGTGTCTCCTTTTTTTCAATTACTAAAAAAAGGAATATGAGATAGGAATTGCGATCGTAAACGATCTCGTAACGCTGAAAGTGCGCATGTGTGTGTGTGTGTGTGTGTGTGTGTACCTATGCAACTTGGTGAGGCACGTTTTGATGCGCTTTCATCCGTGCACAAGAACCGCACAGTCGCGTCTTGTCGTTTCTCCACACGCTAATTCCAAGACCGAGCTTTAAATGGCGCCCGCGGAGTGGAAAAACGTGTGTGCATAAACGAATAGAAAACGCGCATATACAGTGATGATAGACCGCGATGTGCTCCGACGCGCGTAAACGGCGAGCCGCCGTATAATCTCTCCGCGGAAATTACTCAAAAGCGTGTAAGCTTCAGAGATACTGGTGCAACTAGGAAGTATTAAGACTGATGCAAACACCAGACGGCGATACGCGTTGATGCGAGTTGATGATGAGGCGCCGTTTATCCGCTGATTGCAGTCAGACTGTTGTGATAAGAGAGTCGTGTTTCGAATTAGAGAGAGATCTGTTGCCATTTAAGATCTTTTTTTCATATCCACATTACGCAAGAGCAATTTAACGTCAAAATTAGAAGAATAAATTAATTAAAATGAAAAGGTTAATGGGCCAATAAGAGCTTAAACACGGATATTGGTGTGTGTGGAAATAAGTGATTTATTAATTTAAAAAAGTTTAACGCAGGAACTAGGATCGCGAAACGTTAAACTTTTTTAAATTAATAAATCACTTATTTCCACACACCGATATCCGTGTTTAGGATCTTATTGGCCCATTAACCTTCTCGTTTTATTAGATTGTTTCTTTATTACTCCTTTTATTTGAATAAATTAATTGTCGAAAAAAATGATGTACAAAATAAAATTGCTTCAATGTTATCGGTTTTTATTAGTATTTTTTTTTTAACTTATTACGAGAAGATCAAAGCGAAACAAGAAAAAATTGTATTTTTCACATTTCTAAACAATATACAAAAAAATGATAAATCTCACGATTATACATCATTGTCAGAATTGCTACACAATTCGATAACTCAATCAGATACAAATGATTCAGCGATTATTCCATTCATTAATCAATTCGCGTCATTCGATTCCGTTAAAAGCCGACAAAGACTTTCAAGATGCATGTATGTGTGTAGTTGCGCGAAACGGGAAGTGCACACGAACTCGCGTGTGGATCACACACGAAGAAGAGCGAGGGGAAGAACGACCCTAAACGTCGTTGATCCGAGTAAACTGTGCCAGTAAGCGCTAATAATGTTTCACTTGTTGCGTTTTCTTGGAAAGCTTAATTAATCATTATACCCCGACGTCGCGAGTCGGGGAAACGAAAGAAAGCAGAGAGAACTCGCTAACATATGGCGAGAGGATGAGAAGATCGAAGAGAGCAGACCGCCCGCCGCTTCTGCATCGATCGCGCGTGACCCGCGTTACTTACGCGTGCGAAGTCAGAAAAGTCGCTATCTCAAAATAAACCGACGTACAGATTCGTATGTAGAAATAAATACAGAAAAGAAAAATTAATCGTAACATAGAAGAAAGATAACTAAAAATAAAGATCATAAGAGAACGCAGCTGTACAATTTCTGGTGAATTTAATAATCAAAAACATATTGAATTCTGTACACCGAAAAAATTGTATTCTTGTTTTGAAGGGATATCCCACTTACTTTAAGTATATTTTGAACTAAAATAGGCGCCAAGAAGAGTTCCTTATTTTAAGAGGAAAATCCTCTAAATAGTAATATTGATACACCGAAAAAATTATATTCTTGTAAGTAGAAGATTTTATACTCAAAAAATCTTCTTAAAGATTTTAGAGATGATATTCTTCTGAAATTAAGAATATATATTCTTTATTTAAGAATATATTTTTAATTTAAGAATATAGTCTTTTTTGATAGTGAGATATATATGTTTTTCTATAGAGGCTTTTTGTGCACAGTGCGTCAGGAATTAAAATTAAAAATGATTAAATGTTAAAATTATTATTATACTGTACTAGTTTACATTTTATTATATAAAAATAATAATTAAAAAGAATATAAATATAGATATAGATTATGATCATTAATAATAAAAAATTAAACATAGGTAATATGTATGAAAAACTTTAAAATATAATAAAAATAAAATTATTTAAAAAATCTTACAAAATAGCGTTATTAATGCAAAAGATATATAGATTACGTACTGATTATATATATATAAATCTAATTAGTATATATTCTATATATATAAATCTAATTAGTATATAT